CTGCTCCTCCACTGAAATGACTCCAGTCATTAATGACATTGCACAGCTGTCCATTCTGAATCCTCTACCAGTTGTGTGGCACACAGCATGGCTGAACTTGGTTCCCACCATGCCGTGCCTTGTTTCCTCCTGTCATGTTAACCTTTTATTTCTGTGAGCCTTTGTAACTCCATCTCTTCTATCCAACCAGGAAATACACGGCATTTCCTCAGGACTTGGGCCCTTCTCACTCCTTCCAGCTATTCTAGTCCTGAAAATTCTCAGCCACATGCCCAGCTGCTATGTCACCATCACAGAAGGCTCATGACTGCACTTTTCCTGTTCCTGTCTCTCCAGTTCCCTTGGGTTCACTCCTAATACTGCCTACAGAACATCTCCATTTGGATGTCTAAAGGCATTTTAACACCACTATATCCACATCTAAACTAGTTACTTCCTTCACCCAACTGGGCTTCTATTACTCACCATCTCAAAGCAGAAGTCTAGACTTGGAGGGAGGCCCAGTAGCCACCTCACTCTGGTTACCCACTCATCACAGCTGCTTCTGTCTCCTAAATATCTCTGGGCCACGTACTGTCCTTTCTACAACCACCACCGCTTTGGTTCAAGCTCCTTCCCAGACCAGCAACACCTTCCTATGAATCTCACTTCAACTGTTCTTATTCCTGCTACTTCATTCTCCGCGATACAACTAGCTGTCTTGAAATAAACAAGAATTTGGAATGTAATTCTCTGTTTGATGACTGGAATGGCTTCCTATTAGTCCCTGGATGTAAGGAACATTGTGAGGCAGAGAACAGCTGAGACCACTGGGCTTGTGTAAAGCAACACAGGATTTATTGCGCCTGGGTGCAGGCAGACAGAGGGCAAATACGCCATCTGTAGGAAAGGAAGAGAAGCAGGCTTTTTAAAACAGGGTTTGAAAGAAAGCAAGGGACATTAGGTGGGAAGATCTTAGTAAGCATCAATAGTCAAAGTTCTCTGGATGTTTTACGCCTCACTGGGCAAAGTCCTTGGGGTGCCCGGTGTGAATGTTTAGGTGTCTTTAAATGTCCAGGTGCTTGAAAGCATCTGTATTCCATTTTATCTCTTTTACAACATCCTGTGTTTGCTGAGGTGAGAACAACGCCTGTGCTGGCAGACAGGCTGGGTACTGGGAGAGTCACGTCCGAATCCAGCCTTACACTGAACACGGATACGAATCAACATGGCCTATTATGCCTTAACTTCCTGGTCCTCCCTTCCTCCTTGGCTCCTCCCACACTGAACCTGGTCACACTCAGTTCTTGGACTGTGCCTGGCTGCTCCAGCTCCTGGAATGTGCCACACAACCTCTTGTTACCTAGGACCTTTGCACATGCTTTCTGCTAGAAATTCTCTGTGTCATCCCCTCCAAACCCTTTTCTGCTCAACTTATTTTTCATTTCTTAAAATTAAACTCAAGGTAATCATTTTTAGAAAGAACGTCACTTCTTTTCCTAATTGGGACAAGTGCCCTCTATATGCTTTTTCATAGCATCTTACATTTTTTTTTTTTTGCATTTGCTACAACCATTTGAAAATATGTGTATGTGTGTTTGACTAATAAATTTCTTCCATTACAGTTGAGTTCCAAATCTAACAGCTACAAATGACTCACACTATTACCTAGGTCAGTGCCTGAGACACAAAAAGGTACAATACAAGTTTGTAGAATGGTATTTTTAAATGAAACAATAGATTCCTGCCACCCCTAGGGGTAAGACAATGCTAGCCTTATTCCTACTAGGTTCCATTGTTCTTTAAGTCCTACACAAAGCGGTAAGATACAAAATGTAAACAACTATTGGAAAGAGAAAGATAAAATTTTAATTTACTACAGATGATTATTTACTTAGAGAATTTATTTAAAGGAGTGGGGAAACTGCTAGAATAATGAGTGTAGTAATTTAGTAACATTTTTAAAAAGAAAAAAATAAACAGCATTGCAATATGAACAATACCTTATTATTGTATTATAACAATCCCACCAGCATTTCTTATATATATATACCAAACACTGGGATTAAATACTTCTCTGACATTATCTTATTTACTAATCACCTTCAGTGCTTAATCCTAGTAACAAGACAGGACAGAAGTGCCTGATGCTCCCCAAGAAGTACTTTTCCTTTTGTTCTGCTGCTCCTTGAGACACCTGGCATCTGGTCTCACAGCTGGCTATGGCTACACCAGATGCCACGTGGCCACTCTGGGAGACACTGGCTTTGGATGCAGCAAGCTGTGGTCACAGGTTCATTCAGATGACTCCATGCCCACGGCCTCTCTGGATGAATCCACTCCTCTGCAGCTGTCCTCAGACAGGTCTGTGCAGCCCTTCCACTCCCCATGACTAAGTAAAGTCTGACATAGCATGTGTGAGCTTCTTTTATAAGCAACCTTCCCAAACTCTTAGCTGACTCAACCCTTATGCAGCAGCAAAACCCTAATATAGCCTCTTTTTGGTGGCATATTTGGCCTATTTGTGATTTCTATCTTGAGCAGAGTAGGCTGACTTGGTACATTAAGAACTGGTAACACTAAAGGCTGCTGTCACTCAAAGCAGCCCAGAGCTACAGTTGGTAACGATGAAGGCAGAAAGCAATAGGAATTCTCTGGGAGCTGCCACCTCTGGCTGCCCATAGGTGACGGCCCCAGCTGCCCAGAGAGTGGCAGAGGGCTGCTAACACTAACAGCTGAGAGCTGCTAGCACCCGAAGCTCGGGGTTGTTACTAAACAAGCTACAGTTTGCCTATTCGTGATCTCTATGAATTGAACAAAGAAACCCTTAGCCCATTGGTGACAATGAGGGGGCTGGTGTCTTCTCATTAACAAATATAAACCACCCATGTATAAATTTAAACAACACAGTCCGAAGAGTGGCAGAGTAGGGGTTCAGAATAGGGCTAGGCCTTATCTAAGTCCATGCATCCACCACTAATCTGTGCTGTTAGAAAGTATGGGATAGCAAGGAAAAAGGTCATAATAACAAGCAGTATAAAATGCAAAAAGACTCTGGTAAGGAATGTTTGTAACGTAGTTAATTACAAAACACTACCAGAGGGTACTAAAAAGGCATATCTACATACATACATAGATACATACATACATACATGTACACCTGTGTACATATTTATATACACACACTTTGGAAACTAGAGCCTGAGTATGTCTGGATTCCTTGTATTTTCAGAAATTAAAATAGAGTTCTCTGTTGCTACCCCAATGTGAAAGCAGTCTTCTCGAAGGTCTTTAAGCAGGAACAGTTATAATAAGGGGATTTATTTTTATTTGCTATATGATATGAAGATAGGCAAGTACATATAAGTATACACAGAATACGAAGATCTGACCAAAATTTGGCCTTTTCACAAAGTGTAATTTCTATATCTTACTTTTCTACTAGACATAGGAATACTGAGGAAGTTCCCATGTGCCTATGGAAATGTCATTTTCCTGTGAATGTTAGGCATTGCAGACTCACCCTCTCTGCTCTCCAGGGAACCGGGGTGAGGATTAAAAAGCCCTGCTCACAACCTACACATAAATCAGCTCCCAGAACCACCATAAATAGATCGCAGGCAAATGCTACAGTTTATAAGCAATGTGGGGGGACAGTAAAACCCAGGTACAGTAACAGGACTCTGTGCTACCCCAAAACAAAGGCGCTTCTTAATCCTTTTATATCCCTGCTATATCTGGTATTTAGCACAGAACTCAGCAAAGAGCCCAGGGTTCTAACAAAGAGTGGGACCCGATCCTCAGCTTCTAAACAGAATTTTGATTTCAAGCCTTAAATCTTTATTTTCATAGAATTTAGTTATTCATTTATAAAGAAATTTTAAGCTTGAGCCCAAGAAATTAAAAACATTTGCAAAATTAAGAAACTTATAATATTCATTTATAGTTCAACCAACCCTCTCTAAAGAATGAAACTGTTTCTCATTTTCATTTTGGATTTAGTGATGACTGTTCTGTCTCCTCATCTGTAAATCTGGGTTAGTGGGTGTTCAAGTTTCACTTCAGTGTTATTCCAGGATTACACAGTAGTTTACACCCTTCCAAAGACAGTTGCTGCTTCATAACTGAGCACTGAATGATACAAAGTTGAGCTCTGTTAAGATGTGTAATGGGTTCCAGATATGAAATAATACATCAGGATGTATTTCCCAACTGAATACTGGGTAGCACTTCCGGCAGATACAAGGCCAAAAAGCAGCAGCAAGGCAAGTCCAATCTGCCTGGTTTCACAGTACATGTGTGCTTCAATGGGACACAAAGGCCATGCTACCTACTCCTAGGAATATAATCAGTCAGGAGCCAGACACAGGGCATTAGGAGCCAGGACTGCTAGGGACCACAGCATCTAGCTTTCCTGTGGATGTTCTCACTTAATTTTCTGTAGAACTAGGACTCCTGCCCCTTGCCCCACTCCCTTTGGCTCCTACAGTGCTTAAATGATCCCCAGGTCACACTTCTCACCCTGTGAGGGCCACCTGGCTGTGTAATCACTTTCAAGTCCTCACTAGCTCCTGGTTGTGCACATCACCTGTGCATACACGATCACGAATCCTGGTGACCAGCTGGCTGTGCATAGCTCCAGGGCAAGGCACAGGTGCAGGGTCCAAGCCCAACTCCCACTTTCCAGGGAGGACATCTCACCAAGAGCAGTGTCAGCTCTTGTGTAAGACTCATCTCTCACCTTGGCCATGTAGCTTTGCTCATTTATTTCACACTAACCTGCAACCCTTTCACAGCTTAGTTATGTAGATCCTTGCGCCAAGGGAGCTTTTTGGGGGATGAGGGGGTGTCAGGATGTAATCCCATTATCCTTTCTGTACCTTTCAAAATAATAACTACAAAATATAAAGAAAAGGCGTGGTTTTCAGTTACTGGGTGATCCTTCACTCCTGGGCTGCTTGCCTAGCAAGTCTCCAAGTCTTCGAGGTGCAGGGCCCCGCCCTCCCAGGGAGGTCGCCTACCTCCCAGGCAGGTGGCCGTGCACGGGGTGAAGCCGGCGTACTCCCAGGTGAAGGTCCCCGCGCTGTCCTCCTGGGGGGCGTGGCTGTCGGGTTCTCGGGGCGCAGGGCTCCCGGGACAGGCCTGGCGCAGGCAGGGCCGCTCGGTGGGCAGCCGGGGGCCCTCGCACTCGTCCTCGGGGAGCTCGGCCTCTGTGCGCGCGAAGGCCAGGAGCACGCGACACCTCACGGCGCGCACCTGCACGCCTGGGCCACACGTGGAGCTGCATGCTGACCAGGGCTCGGGGATGAACCTAGGGAGCCGGGACAGACAGGGGGTCACCCACAGCACATACGGGCAGCCAACACTGAACTACATTCCCAACCTTTTTTAATGTTGTGAGACAGAGTTTCACTAAGTCACTCAATTGCCCAGACTGGGTTTGAACATGAGATCCTCCTACCTTGCCTCGGCCTCCCAGAGTGGTGGGATTATAGGCTTGCACTACCACACTCAGCTCATTTTTAAATCTTAAAAACAACAGAAATTAGAATTCTTCATTAAAGATACACCCTACTTCTGTCTCCATATAAAACTTCCAGTTCTGTGCTGTGACTGGTTGCAAACCATGATGATAAAAGGTTTACAAAAGTATTTAGTGATAAATAAACCATCATCTAATGCGATTTCTTTTATAATACAGAAATTTTCACCAACTTATTCCACAAGCCTTTACTGAGCTTCTCTTTGTGAATGTGTGGATGGTATTAAACTGTCACAATGGTTAAGAGCTTAATTGCAGGACATCTTAAAAACTCTTTGCAATGAGCAAGAAGGTTTAATGTTTTTTCATAGTTAACACACAAGTATGCTAATTTCTAAGTTTTCTTGAAAATATAGAAGATGTTGCACAAACTGCCTGAAAGAAGTATTTACTTCTTAATCTGAATTATTATCCACTAAATCAAAGCTTATCAAACTCTGGCCTGCAAGCCAAATGTGGCCTGTTTTCATACAGCCCAACAGCAATTTTTTAAATTGGTGTAGGGAAACAGTATCATTGGGTGACATGTGAAAATTTAAAAAAATTCAGATTTTACTGTCTATAATTAAAGTTCTACTGGGACACAGCCACACTCATTTGTCCATCTATTTTATATGACTGCTTTTCTGCTATATGACAGAGCTGATTATTTGTGACAGAGACTGTTTAGCCTGGAAAATCTCAGGTATTCACTATTTGGCCCTTTATAGAGAATGTTTCTCACCCCTTCTATGCATTGATTCAAAACATAGATCCAAAGGGGACCGATATATTTAAGATCCTCTCATGAAACACTTTGAATCATGAAGTATTAATAACTGATAGACAATAAAGAGTTCAATGATAGATATAGTTTGGAAAACTTTGGGTTCTTTAATATTCAACAGGTTTTTTTATAGCCAAACTTTCCCAAAGACAATGATATTTGAATTCCTACTATAAATACTTAAGACAGGAGTATGAGATGCATCATTTCATCAATTTAAGTGAAAGCAGACCACTATTCATGGAATGATATCCTTGTCCTCCAGAACAGCTTCAGACAATGCTGCTGGGATGTTTAAGCCACACTTCCAAACCTTAATGTTTCAAAGCTCAGCAAGATGGAGTCCCAACCTTTCCCCAGACAAAACTTCTTTACAGCTGTCTGCAATAGCACATCTCATAATCTCCCCACTAGGAAACACCATGATTGTAGATAAATTCCATAAAGAAATGCCAGTAAATACAAAGCACTCTGTTATCTGTTGAAAACTGTTACTAAAGAACCCTATTCTCTAATCCTAACCTTATTCTCCAATTCTAACAGAGGACTTGCTCAATTTCCCAGGATGGAGGAGTACTAGAGTGATATTGGCATACTTACTCTTTTTACTTTCTTTGCTACTCTCATGGTAAGACTGGAAAGGAGACTGCTTAAATACAGGCTGAGATGTCCATGTAGGGTAATAGTATGCAGCCATTTAAAGGAGAGGGCAGCTGGGGATTTAGCTCAGTGGCAAAAGCACCTGCCTGGCAAGCTCAAGGTCATGAGTTCAATTCCCGGTACTGGAAAAAATAAAAAAATAAAAAATAAAGGAGAGGGGCCTATACCAACTAATACGGAAAAGTCTCCTCTGGAGGTGAAAAGTGAAATAAGTATGGGTGGTTCACATCCAGTGATATGTTTTATCTAAATGTTTTAAAACAGCTATGTGTGTACGTGTGCATATGTGCACATATAGTGTGTGTTACGTATGTACCTGCATGTACAGGCTCTAGCACAGTTTATGTACAATTTGTCTTTCCTGGAAGCAGTTGCAGTGACAGGGATGGGAGTGTGTAAAGAAGGAAGCTTCTTTTTGGTTTGTTTGATCATATTAAAAGGCTTTAATTGTCTAATTAGTGTATACTTTTATGGTTATGAATTTTTTTCTCTTTTCTCGCAGACACTGAAATAGAGGAAGCTATAGGTAAAAGACTCAAAAACCAAATGGTCAAGATGTTTAAAGAGATCAAAAGAGAAACATATAAGCAGATGCATAAGATGTCTAACAAGCTCAGGGAAGATAGGTAAACTGATAAAGGATTTTATCAATAAAATTGAATTAAGTAATACAAAACAAGACATGAATGATAACTACGGAAAAGAATTAGAAAGTCTGAAAAGAAAGCAAGCAGAGGTAGATGAAAACACACATAGCAGACTTGACCAATGTGAGAGTATAGTGCCAGGAATAGAAAACAAAGTGGATGTAGCAGATCATAAACTCAGTAATACCCTAAAAACAAGACACTACGCAAGCTGAATCCAACAACTGCTAGATGACTAAAAAAAAAAAACCTCAGAATTATAGAAATAAAGGAAAAGTCAGAAGATGACTCAAAAGGTATAAAAATTGATTCACTGAACTAATAGCAGAAAAATTTCCACATCTAGGAAAAGAATTCAATATTCAAGTACAAGACGTATATAGAACCCCAAATAGCCACAGCTAGAAAAGAATCTCTCCATGACACATCATGATCAAAATGCCAGAAATTCATCAAAAAGAGAGAACATTAAAAGCTGTTAGAGAAAAATAGCAAGTAACCTATTACGGCAAGTCCATCAGAGTACACTAACTGCTGATTCCTCAGCATAAGTTTTTAAAGTGAGCAGAGCTTAGAGTGAAGTTTTTCGCGTACTAAAAGAAAACAATTGTCAATCCAGACTTTTATATACTGCAAAATTAGCCTGCAAAGCAAAGAGATGCTAAAGAAATACATTACCACTAACCCAGTGCTGCAGAAAATACTTAAGGGATCTTAGACAAGGACAGGGAGGCCACAGCACCAAGGAGCCCAAGGAAAGTATGGTATACATCAAACTGGGAGAGTAGTTAAACAAAAGAAAAAAATATAGAGGAATCAGAGCTTGGAAAATAATGTAAGGACAGGATTCAATAAACACCATACAGTGGTAACTCTCAATGTCAATGTTCTCAACTCCCCAGTCAAAAGACATAGGCTGGAAGATTGGATTAAAAAATGCAAACAAATATTGACTATAAGAGACACCCCTCCTCCAAAAGGAAGTATATAAACTGATAGTGACAGGATAGAAAATGATATTCCATTTAACCAGAGCTTGGAAACAAGCAGGAGAAGCTATCTCACTTTAAGACACAGCACAATTCAAGCCCAAACTGAGGAGAAGAGACAAAGATGCCTACTGCACACTGGGAAAGGGACAAATTCAACAGGAAGACATAACAATTATAAATATCTATGCACAGAATGTTGATGCACCCGGCTTCATAAAACAAGAAGTACTGGATTTAAAAAGACAGATAGACAACAATACAATCAGAGTGGGGACTTCAATACCCCACTATCACAACGAGGTGGGTCAACCAGATAAAAAATCAACAAAGATGCACCAGAGTTAAAGTACACTGTTGAACAAACGGACCTAATAGATATCTTCAGAGCATTTCTTCTAACGACAACACAATACACATTTTTCTCAACATCACACGGAACTTTTTCCAAAATAGGTCATATCTTAAGTCATAAATCATGTTTAAACAAATACAACAGATTTGAAATAATCCCCTGCATATTACTGGATCACAGTGAAATGAAGGTAGAAATCAACAGTAAAAGAAGAAACTACATGAAAACATGGAAATTAAAAAACAGTGGAAGAGACAACATATCACTATTGGAAGATAATTTTATAATTGTAAAATAGTAAATGAACAGAAATGTTTTGGAAGAAATAAAACAATTTAATAAAGTACTCCACAAATATAAATGTGTATCTATATAGAAATATAGATATATATCTTAAAAATGCTAGTTTTCCAAGAGTCCAGCTAATACTTCTTAGCAGCCAGGCCCTGTGTTAAGCATTATTATACATATTATTTAATATAATTTTCACAACAATGTTATGATTTGTCATTATTTCTGTGATTTCACAGATGAGAAAAAAATGGAGCCTTTGAAAGTATAAGAAAACTGCCAGAGTTATGTGAGCTTATAAACAAAAACTTTGTAAGAAATATGCAGGGCTGACAGGTCCAAAACTATAAAATACTGAGGAGACTGACCTCAGGGATCTGAATAAATGGAAAGAACATCGTATGTTCCTGAACAGAGAGACTCAGAATTATGAAGATATGTATTCTACCTTAAGTTAACTCATAAAACTAGTGCAGTTCTCATCTAAACCTCTGTGGCAATTTGGGGGGTTGGTTATCAACAGCACAACTCTAAAATTTTATGGAAGAGTAAATGCTAACATTTTTAAAGGAAATAACACACAGAATAACTCCACAGCCCCACTGAAAAAAAACTATGAAAAAGATTAAAAATTCAAGTAATATGGCACTGGCATTGAAGTATTTAGTTTACACAATGATGGCTTTTTAAAAAATCAAAGCACATAGTATAGATTATTTAATACATGGTGCCAGGGCAATTGGTTCATTATGTTGAAAAATATTAAGTGACATTGATTTTTTACATATCACAGGTCAAAGCCTAATCCCCAGGAATCAAAATTCTGAGTAAAACATGCAATCATAAAGATTATTAAAGACAGCATTAAAAAAAAATAGATAATTTCCCAATGTTGGTGAAGGTGTGGTCTGGGAAGGGAACCAGCACTGATTTTCCAAAAGTAGATTTGACGGTAGGAACTAAATGTCTTCAACATATCTGTCTTTTGGCCCAGAAATCCCACTCCCCTACACGTGTCCTAATGGGACAATTAGAGAGGTGTCATTGGATCTGTTGCAGTT